AAAAATGGTTGTACTTGTGCTTAAACTTGTTTGTGAGTCAAATGTTCAGAAGTAAACATGTTTGAGTTGTGTTCATGCCAAGAATAGCTACTTCAGATCCTCAAAGACATTCAGTGACTTAATTACCAACAAGTTTCCTTCATCCTTCAGGCAGTTATTTTTACAGGCAAAGCTTTTATTATTCCTATTACCTGATCAAGATTATGACTCAAATGTTGCAGTCAATTAATTTCCAAGAAATCAGTTTTNAGAGGAAGCCATAAAGCCAAACAGCAAATTAATGCAGGAATTTAAAAAATGCATTAATTTCATGCTAAATCAAAGCAGAGTAATGTTATAACTGTTTAAAATTAGAAGTTAAATATGAAAGGGGTAAAAAAAAAAAAAACAGCTGCACAATGAAGAAAACTTACTGTTTCTTTGCCTCTTCAAACTTCTGGACGAGCTTCCTCAGCCCTCCACTTTTAAAACCTTGGCAATGAGCAGCCGGAGCGCCAATCGTTAACACATCATACATGTGATCTGTAAAGATTTAAACACAATCATTAGAGGGATGAAAACAACACACAAATTACACATCATCGTATCTCACCGAAACCCAGCTCATCCTGCACCCTCATCCTCGGCACGTGCAGGTTGGTTGGCATAAACTCCAACTTTCTGTCTGCCTTCAGGTTACTGGCTTTGAACGACGGACCTGACGTGTTGAGCACCGAGCAAACAATGGATTACTCATGGTCTTTTGCTGATGACTCGCTCGATATTTTATAGATTTAGCAACATTTAAAATCCATGCAGACACAAACCCCTGTAGTTGTTGAGGTCAGACAGCGTTTCCTGGTATCTCTGTAATATAGACTGGTGCTGGGAGACAATCTGACGCCGCAGACTCTCCCAGCAGGGGGATAACTCTCCCAGCTCCTGCAGCTCACACACCCTGAAGACACACACCAGGAGGGGGAAAAACAGGAGAGAGCTTATTGTTACTACAGGCATTTATTCTTAAATGTAAAACCGAAGTAAAGAAAAGTTTCCAGCATTTCAAATTAAAGAATTTGATTCACTGCCTAATGTAAAAATAAATGTGTTGACTGCACTGTGGTTTCTATGAGCTTGGAAAAAGAGCAACATAATAAGGTTCAAGCACAGGGGACGTCGTAAGTCTTCATCATCTCATTATGGGTATGAA